GTTCTGTAGTGGCGTTGGACGCTAAGCACACAATCATCAAAACCGAAAACGAGACAACTGAGAAAATAGATATCCAAAATTTAACGCGGAGAATAACCCAACGATGGAGAAGACGAGAAGAAATAATTCGTCTAATTCGAATTCTTCGGATGGCATGTTTCGGCCTTGAAGGCGTGGTCACTCTTGAGTGTTGTTTTAAACCATTTATTCATATTAAATATATTGTTGTATATCTAGCCTAAGTGTGTTCTTCATCATATATTGATGATTGTTACGATGCGATGAAATGGTATATATAATAATGTGACCTCCACGTAAGATCTTATAGATTAGGCAGTTACATTATGACAAATCTACAATTTTAGGATTAAGTCTATTACTAGAGCGATACTAATAACGAAGTAGATCATAATCTTTACAGTTCCACTTACTTTCGACCACCAACTGCTTGTCGCAATGCAATCCCCACAAAGTGCGCCAACTCTCATACTGAACAACAGAGTTGTATTAGTAATGTGGTGGACGAGGACACAATTGTGGACGATCGAATGTATTTGTACACAAAAATGCAGGACGTCTTAGTACAATCTGAGAACCATAAAGTAGATACTTCATTTGCAAAATGTTAACCAATTGTCTCAAACTTGACTTTTCCTTCAGCGAATGTCAGTCAATAGTCTCAAACTTCATTGTTCTTTTGATTACACACTAATCACTCCTTGATCTCATCCTCTTTTTTGATGTTCTTAACCTTCTGCCCCCAGGCATTTCATTTTCACTTGATTGTACATACTACTTATATCTGTCGACACCAAAACAATAATGCTTTAATGCATGATAAATTTTCCCCTGATTATATTAGGAAGGCTCCCTATAACATACCGACATAATTAAGTATCTTAATAAAGTAAAGCCTTTTGCCTTTGCAACAACTTGATCTTGCTTGTAAACTGGCATACCTCATGTAACATCTTTTTGTTTAGGAATATGTATTATTAATTCGAGTTCTTGAAGGAAATAATGGACTCTATACTGTTTGTGACAAATATAAAGCCATAGAATGAATCAAAGGAAGCATAGATCGCTTCTGATTATAAGAATCACCCTTCAGAATTGTGGATAAAGATAAATGATCATCATAGACACCCAATTTAGTAAAATTAGAACTACAGCGTTTGCCATCACTAGTAGCAAAATAAACAGTAATTCTACAGACCGATCGAATGTGTCCCATTTGACCACACTTAAGCATTTGGCATGACAAAAGACACATGAATTACGTAAGTAAACTACAGGGTGAACATTTATCAAAAATTCGATCACCTCTGAAGCCTGCTTTGCAATCCTGTGTTCGCTTTTCACATTTCTACGGGTAGGAACCATTGTCAAAAAAATGCGAGCTTGAACGACCCTGAGAATGCAGTTCATCAAGACGACTAATCAAAGTAATAAAAGTTTGCAATGACTGAAAATCAAACTCACTCACGGCCTTATAGTTATAACATTCTGTTTTAATACACAAGGATGAACCTTTGGGTTTCTAAATATATTTCATTCTGAAGTTTTGAATATTAATCAACTGGTCACGCAGTTACACGTGCAGTTGATCACCAAAATTAATCTCGAAGGCTTGTTTCTGCAATTCAAGGATCAATTTTCTATTTTGATGGTTGTTCTAATGAAGAAGTTTATGAAATTTTTATTTTCACGGCACCCAAATCTAGTACATTTCACATGATTTCTTAGTAATTGTTTGGGAGCTGTGTGGGGAGGTGAAATAGGTTTAAGAAATTATAGGAATGGAGACCGAGGAGGAAGCAGTGTCTTTTTACAAAAAACCAATAATATATATGTCTGTTCTTTTATTTGTAAATCTCATGACAGTGGAACTAGTGAGGTCATAAGCTAAGAACTCACTTTCAAAGTTTGTTCATTTTAATTCGGTGTCATCTATCGTACCTTAATCTTCCTATTTGAATATTTCACTCAGACATACAATTAAAGCAATAGGTGAGTGATATTGTAAGATTTCCATGCCCTTGATGTTAGTTGAGTACATATATCCACCGTAATACCTGGAAATTCTTTTCATTTTGACGAACCAGGCTTTAGTAGAGCATGTATCTGGATCCGCACCTCTGAGTTAAAACCAAGGATCTTCGTTGGACAGAGTAGTTACTCAAGTAACCGAAGACATCGACTATCTAAATGTTCTCCCTCCGTTAGCTAACAACGATTATACCGTTTCTTCGTTCACATTTAGGACTTATAACATTGTGTGGAGAGAGAAGAGAATAACCTTTTAGACAAGGTCCAAGGAAAAACCTTTCTAGTTTGGCAAATTTCATTGCATGAGAGGATTTGATAGTGAAGAAAAATAATAATTTTCCGGTATGTGTAATTTTCATCGATCAAAGCAGAACATTTGAAAAGGCCCCTTACCTGGGCCTTAAGTTAAAACCGGGAAGTTTTAGAGCACAGTAGAAAATTACAAACTAGATAAATGACTTTCTCATTGAAAGGAGGCGAAAGATATGGGTAAACGGAGCCTTACAAATATGAGAATCCGTTAAAAATGAAGTCATCAGAAGTAAAATCCTTGGTCCTCTTCCTTAATGTTTCGTGTAAATGAAATAGCAACTACACGGACACTCTGAATATCACAGTTGGTGGTGATTGTACCATTTACATGAAGAGAGTATTCTTGTCGACCAGCTTCATTTCATTCATATCCACTAACATTTCGTAAGCGCTGAGAAACTCTGCTCCGAGAACGGATTGTTTGATCTGAGGTGTTACGTCCAAGTTTTTGCTCGTTCTCGTCATTGAATTACGGTATATCGATCTATTCGCAACTTACGAACCCAAATTAACAATAGGACCAAACTCCAACTTGGGTACTAAAGTATATTCGCAATTTACAAATAGTCGACCCAAATGTCGTTCTTCAATTCTGAAGGTTCCCGGAGCAAGAACTTCCAAATACCAAACCAAAGACAAAGAGAAACCCAAATGTCCTAAAATAATGATATAAATAAACAAATTCAGAAGTTGATTAAAACAAATACATCGAAAAACACTGTGAAATCAAGAATATTTAATATAAACGTTATAATCAGCCAAATTTCTCCAGCTCTCCCGTAACACTGGGCTCACTAGATAAATGTGATGGACCGAAATTTATGTTAATTCGAAAATGACACTAAAGTTGTTAGGTCCAAAAGTAAAAGTTGTGATATATCAATTATAATTTATAACCACAAACAAAAGTTATGGGGTGTTGCTTTAATCGGGAAGCTTTGGCGTGTTCAAGCTGCATTTGGTACCATAATCCACAATTATAGGTAATTAGTAATTCCAATGAGGTTGTTGTGACTCCAGTGATCTAGCCAGATGTAGTACATAATGGAAATTGAGCTGTAGTCTATAAATGTAGATAGTAGATATTTTAGAGCTCATGTATCATGACCACAGACAATTGAGAACGAGAGACGCGTGTGTAGCAGTGTATTTACGAGCGGTTAGCAGAGTGCGTCATTCCATGAGGAGTTCAAAACGGAAACGGAAGAATTCAGGGTCATGCAACTTTAAACAACTTTTACGAACAGTTGTGGTTCATGTAAAAGCTATGAGAATTAACAAAATAAATCCAAACAATGTCGAAATCGACTTACAAAATAAGTTTGTCGTGCCTATCTCCACAAAAGTACTGTGACGATCTATATAATTATACAATAAGTAAGACGGTACTGCACAAAGCAATGGATTATAAAGGTGTAGCGTGGCGTCGAGTTGAGGTTAACTTTGAACACCGCTACAAAGAAACACGAGCCAAGCGAATCAGAAGGCGAGGGTTGGACGTAACCAAATAGATCCATAAAATCCCCGAGAAGCCAAATATCAGAAGACAGTTAATAGACCAAGTCGAGGTTTATTAGCTGGCGATCTCGTGGCATCGAAAGGATACCGAGAACGTGCCAGGATACAACCTTGGTTACAGAAGGTAATCGAATTCGCGCGAAGTTACAATCGAAGTGTAAGTAAAAGAATGGAAGCACAAAATAGCTGTCATTAGCACAGTCAAACAAAAGCACGTTAAAACAAACACTGGTACAATTGGTTATAATAATAATTGTTTTTATTAAACCAGCCGTGTTCTCGTGATAAACGTGAGTCACTACAAAGGTTTGGGAGTCATAGTAACTAACAACCTAAGAACTACAAGTAATTGTAAATCTGTCGCTAACAAATGCCTTAGGATCCTATAGGCTATTTGTGAGTCATTATGTCGCTTGGACGCAGTGATGTCTAAGCTACTATGCACGACGTCTGTGAGCCCGAATTCAGAATACGAGTTTCAAGCGGCAACTCTCTGTTTCAGTCATGGAGCGGATGTGCTGGAACAAGGGTGAATAACCTTACTAACCTGTCCTGTAAAGACAGACCAAGAGGACTTAACCTGTTTTCGTCATTCTGCCTCAGGTACGGGGTGATTTGACATTAAAAACCGTATATTGAGCGATGAATTTGACATTATTATGTCTTGTCGTTTCCCTCCGCCTAGGACTAATCGTTTGAGGAGGCATTCTATCAGTGTTCTGAAACCGAAAACAAATCGTCTACCTCTGGCGTTTTATTTCTAACATAGAATAGTGTTACGAGAGTTCTCTAACACGTAATATCAGCACCTTCTGTTGTTACGTCCAAAGCGAGATCAGATCGATGTTCGCAGTGATGCGTACTGCAGTGTTTAATATAAGTCGAGAGATCTATCAAAACTATTGAAGACTGAAGAATATGTAACTCCTTCTAACTAAGAACTACTTGCAAACCCTGACAATTCAATATCGAAAAAACACAAAATTCACCTATTCGAACCCAAGGTGGCTTAAGTTTTAATTAACGCTCAATTCCGGAACTCCGGAGTTTATCATACAAAGAGCGGCTTGAAAAACTGGACCTCTTTACTCTGTCCTATCGCAGACTAAGGGGAGATTTAATTTTGATGTACAGAATACTGAGAAATGATTTCGGACCTAACTTATTCTCTCTCTTTCTTCCCACTAGATCGGGACACCTCAGAGGACATAGCAGGCGAGTAGAAAAGCCAAGAACGAACAAAATACCCGTGACATACAGGTTTTCACACCGAGTCGTCAATACTTGGAACCTGCTGCCTGAAGCAGTGGTGTCCGCACCTTCAATTGACTCTTTCAAGAGGAGACTGGACACTCACAGAAGCATACTAGAGAAGGAATAACATAGGCCGTAGGCCTTCTGTCCTTACTACACAAATCTGAATCTGAATCTGAATAATCAATCGTAGTTGAAAATCTTAGTTCGAACTTCGACCTCTGACAAGGTCAGTGGATCCGTTCCATTGGGTCGTCTTATGTAGTCTGGTATGATTTCTCTCTCTGTTTTGTTAGCACTTTTCATTGGTGGAAAAGATGACCTGCTTTATTACAATGAACACTTCGAAGGCGAATTGAGTGATGCACCCTTAGGACGTCTAATTCCTACGTTGGTGACGTTTTATAACCAATATTCAAGCGAGCCCTACAGATATGTGGCATTTGACGCTAACCAGACATTACAAACTGTATCCTCGAATTTAAATATCTCATTTTTCTCACAGAATATAAGGGGTTATAGATATCGTTTCTCTGTTTTGTTGGCCCCCACTATTTGCCCCAAATACCAAGCGGAATATATATCTATTGCGCACTTGGGACCTTGCTCGTTGAAAGCATATGGAGTATGTTGAACTTGAATAAGTGCTCTAATACGTTTAGTATCAACAATGCAATTTCGTTTTAAGCTTTCGAAAGGGTCTACTGTATGATGATAGCACGTTGTACCTTGAAGGTTGTCGATCTGCTGTCCCGAGAATGCCTGTAAACCTCGAGGTAATTATTTGTTAAATTCATGTTTTCTGAGGTTTGGTTTTATATCTCAGTATTCATAGCATGCCAGAAATACATCTGAAAGTCCCTAGCAATATAATCTTTTGAAACTGCTTTATTCACGATAAGCAAACTTATCATTAGCGTAGTAACTCGTTGTAGGTGGTATGTTTATGTAATTTGCGTTTCTGAGCGACAGTAAGACAAGTGATATCAATAGTTTGCCGCGAAAAAACCAGACTATCTAAATCAAGTTGTATATTCCACGTGGGGTTTATATGAAAGAAACCAGCATATGTGGGTTACGAATTTTATATTGAATCAAGCTTTTATGCTACACATCAGCGCCAAACTTTTTATAAACCGGAAGGTTTACCAACTTTTGCTAATGTGTGTCGAAAGTGTAATTAGAAAAAGCATCTTTTGTGTAACGATAATCAGAGATAGAGGATTGGGTAAGACTAATTTATAGACGAGCCAATCAGAAGCGACTACAACAGGTGGGACTATTAAGAAGTTCCTGTATCTGTGACTGGCAATCAATTGACTGCAGCACGATGTTCAGACTACCGTGATGACATTAGATTTCGTTGTACTATATGTTAGAAGATAAAATCTGCTCGAGCTGGCACTTTCTTCGCTCGATCACGACTCAGACTAAGGCAAATCATGATAATTGTTGCAAATTGGATTATGAAGTCACCAGTAACATTGGCTGCGGCTTTCGCAGATATGCACCCTAACCCTAAACTCTATCCATAACCCCATGCACTATGATTTCAGGACATCTGAACCTTTATCTAACCTTAACAAGTTTTTAAATCATGTAAAAGAAGAATATCCGCTGTAATTCATAAGCTTTTTATAATGTTTTCACTTTATACTAACTCTCTTCTGATTGGCTAATAGTTTCGAGGTCACTTAAAAATTCGTTTAAAGGTCGTCCATAAAATATAGTCCTACAGAGGATTGACTGTATGTCTCATGCTGATAAAATTTTTAATTGCTCAACGAATATTAAATATTTCTCCGTTTATTTCTCCCGTAAACCACCCTTTTCCAAGTAGTTAGATGGTATTGTATCTACTCATAGAAAGTACCTCGTATGATCTAGATAACATACATACCAAGAAAATTCAGATAAATATTGGGACAGGAACATAGTAGTTAAACAACTTTAAATTTAACCACTAGGTTGTTTGTTCACTTACTTTCCTGTCATTGGTTTAGACACCTTCGAAGTCTTACTAGTCCTCATAAAACTTCTGGCTTAACGCCAAGCATATAAACATGTCAACAACGTATTCAGTGAACTTCGTTTACTTTGCGTCATCAACTTTTCATTTCACTGAATAAAATGTATTTGTATCAAATTTTGTCACTTAGTAGTATTGTCGACATCAACACACCAACATATATTTCGACGGCTTTTTATTCTTATAAAATTACTTTATGATAGACAATATAATTATGAAATATCTAATAGTTGGATTCATGTGTCAATTAAAGGTGGACCACCATGGAGAACCTGGAAGTACTGGACGGTCGTTTTGTCCTAGTATGAGTCTCCTCGGCAGTGTGCATAATAGAATTGTTTTTATTCTGCAGATAATTCATGGTAATTACACCTTATCAAACATATAGAGGTGATCTGTTCCTCGGATTTTTCATAATTTCAGATAATTCAGCCAAATGAATTAAACGCATTATCAGTCACGCCATTTCAAATATCAGATATATGTTCTATAGGTCGACAAGGCTGCTTACTCTCTCTGCCTTTCTATTTCCTCTGATGGTCGACCGGATTATGAAGACCTCAGCATCTGACGGGAAGCAGAGAATAGAATAGACAGCTTGCATGCAACTAGACGATTTGGACTTCACAAATGACCTGGCTCTTTTATCCCATACACACAAACAAATGCAAATTAAGACAACTGGTGTAGCATCAGCCTCTGCATCAGTAGGCCTAAACATACACAATGGAAAAAGCAAGGTTCTCAAATACAACACGGAGAACACAAACCAATTCACACTTGATGGAGAAGCTCTAGAAGATGTTGAATCTTCCACGTACCTGAACAGCAACATCGATGAACGTGTACAGTCCGATGCAGACGTAAAGGCAAGGATTGTCAAAGTAAGGACAGCACTCCTACAGTTGAAGAATATATAAAACTCAAAACAACTGTCAATTAATACCAAAGTGAGAATCTTCAATACGAACGTCAAGACAGTTCTTCTGTACGGAGCTGAAACTTCGAAAAATACCCAACCATCGCCACAATAATGCAAGTATTCATAAACGGTTGTCTACTCAAGATATTGAATATCTGCTGACTGAATATCACCAGCAACAGCCTACTGTGAGAGAGAACAAACCAGCTTCCATCTGAAGAGGAAATTAGGAAAAGACGCTGAAAGTGGATATGACATACATTACGGAAATCAGCAATCTGCATCACGAGACAAGCGCTAACTTGGTATTCTGAAGGTAAACGTAAAAGGGGCAGGCCAACGAACACATTGCGTTGGGAATCGGAAGCAAGCATCTGAAGGACGAATAGCGATTGCAAACAACTAGAAAGGATTGACTAGGACAGAGTTGGATGGAGAATGTTTGTGGACGACCTATGCTCCTCCACGAGGGGTAACAGGGGTAGGTAAGTATTTGAGTAGGTACGTTCGATTACGTCTATTTTGTCTAGCGTTAGACAGTCTATGTTTAAGGACCGATTCCAGGGACGGATCCACAGGAGTTAAATAAACCGTCTTACTTCTGAGCCATGAGAGTGCCTTAATTAAATGCATTCAGTGTGAGCGGCATACCAAAACATCAATCACGTAGTCATTGGTTATTAGTATCAGGAGTTTAGCAAGCGGTTAATTTTCTCTAGCCAAACTGGTAAAAAATGGAGAAGGGATGTCGATTACATCACAATGTTCCTTGTTTTTCTGTTGGTTAGTACTTCGACGGATAAAAACCTTATTTCTTTTTTACTTTTATGCTTTATTTTTCAGTACTTAGGCTTTAAGTTGCCTGCAAACGTGGAGGAGAAATATGCACAATTTAAGTTAACATATAGAAAACAGTATCATGAGACAGGTAATTTCATATAAAATTTGGAAATTAATACCTTTCTGCTTAGAAGACGAGATTAGGTTTAATATCTTCAAATTGAATATCTTGAAAGCTCAATTGTATCAGGTATTTGAAAGAGGTTCAGCCATTTATGGAGTGACACCTTATTCAGACTTAACAAGTTAGTATACATTTCCTAGTAATCGTAATTATCATTAGCTGATGAATTCGCACGCACTCATCTAACTGCTTCCTGGGTAGTGTCGTCTAGTACAAATAATACACCAATTTCTCTGGAAAAGGAGGTTAAGAATATACCAAAAAACTTCGATTGGAGAGAAAAAGGCGCTGTAACTGAAGTAAAAAATCAAGGAATGTGTGGCTCTTGTTGGGCGTTCTCAACCACTGGTAATATTGAGAGTCAGTGGTTCCGCAAAACTGGAAAGTTATTATCATTAAGTGAGCAGGTCAGTCTATTTCCTATTCATCAATGTGTACATTCAGAAATTTAAATTAGATAATGTTTCATATTATATTCTAATCTCTCCCTACCTACTTTGGCTTGGGCAACCGACTAGGATCATCATTCATCACGCAAACAGTACGAACCAGTCGCAAACATAGAGTTGTATTCAGTAATTAAGTTGTGTCGAATTTCTCGAAATGGAGAGAAATATCATTCAGCAAAAAACACTTTGTTACTGTTTGCCGTATCAAATAAACGTATTTACAGAAGGTTATACTAAAATTCTCAAGGAAGACGTAAGCAGTAGTTTTAAACGTATCGTAATATTGAGTTTACAAATTCATGTAAGTGAAACGTGTACCAGTGTTTTGCATTCAGTAAAAGAAAGGTAGAAATGAAAATGTTGATTAAAACCTATATATATATATATATATATATATATATATATATATAGGTTGTTTTGTGCATAACTCTCTTCGTATAGACTTTCTTGAAGGTGGGTTGATTTGTAGCTCAAGTAACCTTATTGTTACAATACTGTGTACGTGTTTCATTATGGTTTGACCAGTTATAAAGCGTGTTAAAAAAGCGCAGCAACGCTACATTCTATTTTGTATATAATTCAAGTGTTTAGGTTATGAATTTTCCAGCCACTACCTCATTGAGTGAAATTGTCCGATAAACCTATCTTGTAAGGTACTACCACTTCTAGTATTCTTCATGTTTAACCTTTTAAATAAACCTACAATTCGTGTCGTTCACTTAATCTTGGTATGTTTAGTTTAAAGCTATGGGAACAACATGAACCTAAAAGTAAGATCTAGATATTTAAGTTCGAAATTCACCTCTGAACATTGTATATATGTTTTGATAGTTTGAACATAAGGCTCCTGTAAGCAGTAAATTGGAAAATAATGTGTATACGGATAAAAATATCCTACTTACATCGTGATTTTTGCGACTTAGCAGTATCACCAATGCTCATATAATAATTGTAGTTGATAGTCTAGTACGCATCCTTGCATATGGATAATCAGTGACCTACGAAATCCTCGTGTTGACGGATAAATTAATTGGTACTGAAAATGTTCAGCATACCGTCGTCAATAAGAATAATGATATTGGATCAAATACGATTCAATTAAAGAGTGTATTCATATTTTCTGACTATAATTGTACTTCTTACAACTAGCTTCTAGTTAATTGTAATATTTTATTCTCAATAATTCATGCTAATTACAGCAACTTGTTGACTGTGACGGTCTAGATGATGGTTGTAATGGTGGTCTTCCATCGAATGCCTATGAATCAATCATAAAAATGGGTGGTTTAATGCTTGAAGATAATTATCCTTATGATGCTAAAAATGAGAAATGTCATTTGAAAGCTGATAATGTTGCAGCTTACATTAATAGTTCAGTAAATTTAACTCAAGATGAAACAGAACTTGCTGCATGGCTTTATCATAATTCAGCGATTAGTGTTGGTATGAATGCGATGCTTTTACAGGTATAGTCCTCAAATTATATTTTGGTTTTCTTTATATATACACCATATTTTCTACTATATTGTTCTTTCAAACATATAATTCATCAACAGATTTGGAAATAGAATTTATTAGTGTACAAAAAATGTTAAATTTTTTTTTAGCCGTTAGTTGTACTTGGTTAAGTAATGAAGTTGTTATGAGTTGTTGATCATAACTTTGTTATTATGTATAACTCATCAAGTTGTGCTAGTAATTTTGAATAACCTTAATTATTCAGTTCCTTGAAAGTAAGCTCAGACACTGGTTTTATTAATCCACGCAACCCTACTTTACAGCTTTATGAATATATATAGTCAAATGCTAGTCACGGCTTATTCACAACCGTTTTATGTTGTGTGGATAGTGACGCTCATCAATACGATATCGACAATATTTTCAAGAGTTGAATAAGGGTTCCAAAATTGCTGTAAGAATAAATCATCAGTACGAAGTTACGGTGTTTATGAACAGTTGTCTACGTAAAGTACTTCGGATCCGTTGGCCGGACACTATTAGCAACCACCAACTGTGGGAAAGAACAAACCAGATCCCAACGGAGGAAGAAATTAGGGAGAAACGCTGAAAGTGGATAGGACACATTGAGAAAAGCACCCAACTGCGTCACAAGACAAGCCCTCACATGGAATCCTTAAGGCTAAAGGAAAAGAGGAAGACCAAAAAACACATTACGCCGAGAAATGGAGATAGACATGAGAAAAATGAACAAGAATTGGATGGAATTACAAAAGAAGGCCCAGGGCAGAGAGGGTTGGAGAATGGTGGTCGGCGTCCTATGCTCCATTAGGAGTAACAGGCGTAAGTAAGTAACGAAGTTACGGTGTTATGAAACTTCGGGTTTCACCAAATCTTGACTGATTCTAAACAATGTAGACTAGTATGATGTGTTCTTACTTTTACTTAGGATATTTTCGTTAAGAACCAGCATCCTATACAATAAGAAATATTTATACTATAAATCGTATCCGAATGAGAAATAAATTTCACACCCACAGCCACTTTTGACTTGATCGTGTATAATCCTTATTTTTCATTTTATTGTGTGGTGCGACCTGCTGTGCTTGTATATAGACGACGTATGTCTGAAATATACGGTTCATATAGCGGAGGCTGATATTTGCGTCCTGGACTGAACGGAGAGGGATAGGCGAAAAGCTACTATACGGCGGACCGATAAGTACTCAGGGTTCACTCAAGGCTGCTAATGCTGGTTGATTTTGTTATGACGAGATGAAAAGTCAAATTAGATTGATTACTCATTATGATTTCTATTCAATATTAATTCCGTTTAATTCAATTTGATGATCACTTGGTATAGTATTTGTTTCGTTCCCCCCTATGACATTTTATTCTGTATAATATATGATATTCTTGTATGAAGTATTTTTCATATATGTGATTTATTCTGATTATTAGTCAAAAATGGGTGTACAAACCAATATATAAAGAGTGTATTTCGAACTAGACTGGTCATGGTTGCTCGTGCTTCTGGCTGCTTGCGGAATGTATTTCCCCGTTTCAAATATGAACTTCTGTCTCCAGTTAGCAGAGCTGGGACGCATCAGAATAGCTAGCTTATTGGTCTTCGGTCACAGAGTCCTTGTTCAGTTCACAGACTAGGTGAATTCGTAATCGCTTCAAACATAACATTGTCATTGACTTAGCGCAGGGACAAGGACAGTATTCCGATCAGCGATTTCTTCACGTGGTATTTGACGGGCCATAGAACATGAGAGAAATCAATAGTACGGGCAGACATTTTCCCGATACATATTTTGATTCACACTGCTAAATGGTTTGTATAACATGAATAATATAATTACATCCCGACCGTTGTTGCTACCTTGACGTAGTGGTCGGGCTTGCCTATCGTGATGAAGCAACCGAGCTATACTGACTGGAACAACTGTTCCTCAAGGTCCTACCACGTCAGAAAGGTCGGTTGAAGAGCGGTAAGACTAAAAGCAACAAACCCAAGGTCTGAAGGCGAAGTCGTACTGCTGACTGTACAGAGGTGTGACAGCAGTAAAGTGTTTCCTTCAGACAACCAGCATGACAGCGATGCTGCCTTCCCACAAGGAGGGGTGGGGTTAGAAAAGGTCGACCCTAACAATTCACATCTCGCCTTATCCCACGGATATCCGTCTCCGGCGGTAAGGTCTCAACAAGTACGGAGCTAACACAAAAATTGTTCATAAAAAGGTCGTGTGTGACCGATCTCAAGCAGTTGTCCCTTGGACACAACGGTCACGCTATTAATCCACTGTTAATCCAATTTCCTTTTCAGGTACCTCCAGAAGAACCCTTCCACGGTGTGGACAACCGGGAAGTGATAACCGCCCTCATACCTCTAACAGCACTCAAGACCACTGTATTCATAATCAACCTCCCTCTTCAATTCCTATTATTCCTTCTACATCAACTTCAAACTCTAAACTTCTTTTTTCGGCTTCCCCCTCAAGTGTCACCATAGCCAACAATTCTAGTGCTCAAAACACTGTCCCAGGTCTACTGAAACCTTGCTCCAAACTACACATTGGAGCCTTCAATGTACGCACCCTATGTCAAATCGGTTAGCAGGCTTCCTTGGCTAGAACCCTAGAATCTCGTACCATTGATGTATGCTGTGTTTCCGAAACACGCATACAGGATCCCAGTGTGGTCATTCACTTGACCTCACCTCGGCAAAACGGAGAGCCAATGAGATACACCCTCCATGTATCTGGGGACCCGATGGCCAGTTCTCGTGGACTGGCAGGTGTAGGCATAGCACTAAGCATGAGGGCGGAACAAGCACTGTTAGAGTGGATCCCCGTCAACAGTCGTCTATGTGCTGTTCGGCTAAATGGCTCCGTAAGAACTCGGAAGGATAGGGACACACGTCGTTGCCTTTTTGTCGTTTCTGCCTACGCTCCCACCGACTGCAGCTCAGATAAAATGAAAGATGAATTTTACAGAAAGCTATCTGAACTTCTTCAGAAAGCTAAACGTTCAGACATAGTACTCGTAGCAGGTGACTTTAATGCCCAGATAGGTAGTTTAAACCAAACAGAAAGGCATTTAGGCGGGTATTTTAGTATCCCGGCACAACGAACAGATAATGGTGATCGTCTGCTGCAACTATGCTCAGACAATCGTTTATTTTTAGCAAACACAAATTCTAAGCATAAGGAAAGATATCGTCTAACATGGCGACCCCCTACACCAAACCAACGATGGACTCAAATAGACCATATTGCCATCAGTCATCGTTGGAGAGGGTCGGTAGAAGATTGTCGCTCATTCTGGAGTACCTGCTTGGACTCCGACCATACCCTAATACGGGCACGCATCTGCTTGCGCCTCACTGGGTGCAGAAAAGCCACATTAAAAAGACCAATTAGAACTGAGTTGAGTAACGAGAAAACAAAAAGTAGGTTCCAGGAACAACTGAGGTCACACTTACGTAGTTCTGAAAACGAGGCTGACCCAGATGCTGCTTGGAAAGATATACAAACAGTTGTGGAAACAGCAATGAAATCTATTAGTGACTTAAACCAAAGAGTTACAAAGAACCAGTGGATTTCTTAAAAGTCTATCACACTGATGGATTCTCGCAAACTCGTTCCATCAGGTTCCGAACATGATGAAGAGCGACAACAAATCAGATCTAGGTTAAGAAAAAGTCTAAGAAACGACCGTGAGCAGTGGTGGGTAACGAAAGCAAAAGAGATGGAAAAGGCGGCGACTATAGGGAACACAAGACAGCTTTATAGACTAATAAAAGAAACTGGAATTAATAAGTCAAGTGTAAGTGAGATTATTTCGGAAAAAACGATACTCTCATCTACTCCCAGTCCAGACGTTTAGAACGATGGGCGGAACACTTTAGGGAGCAGTTCAGCTAGCCTTCAGCGACTCTACAACTGCCCTCCATTCCCAGACAGTGTGAATGGAACATTGAAGTAGGTCCCCCAACTCTATCAGAAGTTCAAAAGGCTATAGTTAATCTGAAACGAGGAAGGGCAGCTGGTCCAGATGGATTGTCTCCAGAAGTCTTTAAGGATGGTGGTCCAATTTTAGCGATTAGGTTAACTAATATTTTAGCTAAGATCTGGGAGTTAAATGTTATTCCATCTGACTGGTCGCAATCACTTATCGTCTCAATATATAAGAAAGGGTCAAAATCATCCAGCGACAACCACAGAGGGATTAGTTTAACTAATATAGTATCTAAAATACTAGCCTCGATAATTATCAGACGCCTAACTAAGACTCGTGAACTGCAAACTCGAGAGAACCAAGCTGGCTTCAGACCTGGTCGTGGCTGCATCGACCACATATTCACCATTCGTCAGGTTCTAGAACACAGGCATACTTATCGGCGTACGACAATGGTGGTCTTTCTTGACTTAAAAGCAGCATTTGACTCGGTAGACCGCGAGATTCTGTGGCAGTGTCTGTCATTAAAAGGTGTACCCCAGAAGTACATAAACCTTGTAAAGGCTCTTTACTCGAACACTACTAGTCGAGTCAGAGCTTATGGCCAACTGTCATCTACTTTTGCAACCTCAGGTGGTGTCCGTCAAGGCTGTCCACTTTCTCCATTTCTATTTAACTTCATCATAGACCTATTGATGGAAATAACATTCTCGTCGACTGAATTCTCGGGTATTGATCTCCTTCCAGGCGGTCCACTTATCGACTTAGAATACGCAGATGATATAGTCCTGTTTGGTGAAGACGCTGACAAAATGCAGAGTCTTTTGATATCACTAAGCAACAGTGCCAGAATGTTTGGAATGCGCTTCTCTCCCTCTAAATGCAAGTTGTTGCTTCAGGACTGGCCTGTGTCAACACCTGAACTAAGGAAGGGAGTGAAGCAGTCGAACGCGTCGACAACTTCACTTATCTTGGAAGTCTGATCAGTCCTAATAGGTTGGTGTCTGATGAAATCTCAGCACGGATTCGAAAAGCTCGCTTGGCTTTTGCCAACTTACGTCACCTTTGGCGGAGGCGAGATATCCGTCTATCAATTAAAGGACGAGTATACTGCGCGGCAGTCCGTTCTGCCTTACTTTACGGCAACGAAACATAGCCTTTAAGAGTAGAAGACACCCGTAAGCTACTAGTATTTGACCACAGATGCTTTAGAAATATTGCTGGCGTTTGTTGGGATCACCGGGTAAGTAATAGTGAGGTTAGACGCAGGGTATTAGGGAATGATGGTAAATCAGTTGATGAGGTTATGAATCTTCATCGACTGAGATGGTTGGGCCACGTATTACGTATGCCTGAACACCGATTACCACGACGTGCAATGCTAACCGGTGTAGGGGATGGTTGGAAGAAAGTTAGGGGCGGCCAAACCAAAACGTGGCATCAGTGCCTGAAGTCACTAACTTGTAGTCTGAGCCATGTTGGTAAATGCAGACTACTTGGTTGGGGTCCGCGTGACTATCGTAACCAATGGTTGGAGACTCTTGGTGACATGGCTCAGAATCGATCACAATGGCGTCGGTGTATACACTCCCTGTCTTCCCTTAAACTAAGAGATTAAAATCGCTTCATATCTTTCTTTCTACTAACTAATTCTTTCTTCCTGTACTGTATCGTTATATGCAATCTTTCTCCTATATATTACCACCTTTTACCTAACCACTCCTGTGAATCCGGTGTTCATCTTGCTGTGCTAATGAGGTATGGCAACCTGGACCGATGCATATATGTGCCTGGTCCTACGTTGTAGCTGACTGACTGACTGAATATAATTACATCCAATCAACAGGTAACTGGGCTTACTCAGAATTGTAAGAAGTAGAATTTAAGTACAAAACAACTGATGTATTATGGTTTTCAACTTCTAGTTTCAACAACTGTACACTACAATTATTGTAAATGGATTTTAGGCTTTTGATTCCTATGATGTTTATTTTATCTACCACAACTCAATTTAGTTTTATCGACATGGAATTAGTCATCCATGGTGGATCTTCTGTTCAAAGTATCTGCTTGATCATGCGGTTTTACTTGTTGGCTATGGAGTTTCCGAAGAAAATGAGCCATTCTGGATTGTAAAAAACAGTTGGGGTGTTGAATGGGGTGAAAAAGTAAGTTTTTTCCCTTGCATAACTGATATAAAGCGTCTTACTGAAATTATTTACTACTTAAATTACATTAAATCAACTAGTTTTGTACTGTCGGTTGATATGTAAAGTCCATATATATTATTCTAGCTACTGGACAGGCCAATTTATCCGTTCTTGTTGAGTCACGTTTTGACCTTGTTAATTATTAGCTTATCAACCTTGACTTTTTATATTAGCGTATGTGTGTACACTTTTTATCTTATCACATGTCTGTAGTTTATTTTTGTGTGATTATAAATATTGATGTCTTCTTCAGCTGGAGAAGAGGCTACATCGAATCACGGTACACCTACCGGGGCTCAATAGTTGTCTTTGCAGGTTTCTTGTCTTTGATTTTACTTCATGTTCGGTGATTGCTGACTACCTATGTACTACATAGAAGTGATTGATTATGCCTTTCTTAGTTGGTAGGCTTTTATTGCAGCCAGGATGCGGGCATTTATTTACATTATTTATGGACTTATTTTTATTTATTGGGGTTTTAGTTTCAGTTTTAGGTAAATTGTGTTGTGGGTGACAAGATATGGGGTGAGCGGTAAACCGGATGGCAGAGAACTTCCTAATCATCCACTCCGCCTATACCCACAACTGATTACGAAAACTACAAAGAATCATAGCACAATTGCTACTTGTTCAAAAAAAAGACAAGAAAATGCATAAAACCACCAAAAACTCAAACTTAGTTTATGGAATGTCCAAGGTTGCCTACAAGAGTGCAAACTCCAACAGATTGTAGAACAAATCATCGAACGCAAGTACCACATAGCAGTGATTACGAAAACTAGGATGGTCTCCAAAACCATCAAATAAGACAAAAACACTACCTTCTTTAACTCCAATCTTGACATCGGACGAAAAACCGGTGCTTTCAACGTGGTACGGTCGCTAATCCTGACATCAACGGTTACCGTAACACTGGTGTTGGCTTCGTCATTAATAACCAATCCTTACTGAACCAGCACACAAGACTTCTACCTGGGTACACCCTAAAACTCAGACTGAATATATGATAGATTTGGTATTAACAGAAAATAACTCTAAGTTAATGGTCTCTGACATAAACAACAGTCGTTCTATGGAGGCTAACTCCGATTATTACATGATCACAACCATACTTAAGCTAAATTACTTAAATAGTAATCAGACTCCTAACACTAATAAGAAATCCAAACGAAGACAACGTAAGGTGATACACGCCTTGACCACAGACTACCCGAATATGCTAAATAATTTACTTCAAAATGGATATACTCTAAGTCAGGTAGAAAGAGTAATCATACAAACTGCTAACAAAGCTACAATCCTGTATAAGTCGGACACCAAGAGATGGCAATGCAATATAGGCGATCTCTTGAATCAAGAGATTAAACATAGAAAACAATTAAGACTATCCTGGCTAAATAACCCCACAACCATTAATAAAAACCTATATATACTTTAGTGGTCCGTAATATGACTCCAGTGAGATCGTTTCCGATTGCTATTGAGATATATATATCGTCAATCCTCGTATATAATTATCGACTTAGATCACGTTAGTTCATTGGACGGAATTAAATAAGTCAAATACGAGAATGGATTTTGAATATGTATATTTCACTCACTCATTCATTTGAACAGGCAGTCAGGGAATGAAGAAAAGAGAGCGAAGCGAAATGACGTGCAGTGGAGAAGGCATGTGAGCCAACTCAATTCAGTCAAGCGTTAATCAATATTTATAGTCACACGAAAATAAGCTACAGGCATGTGATGAGTAATGCGATAAAAAGTGCACACCACTTATACGCTCATATAAAAACAGTCAAGGTCGATAAGGGAATAATTATCGAGGTCAAAACGTAACTCAACAAGAACAGATAAATTGGCCTGTCCAGTAGCTAGAATAAGGTATATGGACTTGATATATCCCCGACACTACAATCTTTACTTTTCGACGAACTTTCTCAGCTAAATAGATTCATTATTTCAGATAAATATTAACCACCTTTACTGTTTGTCGAGCCATTCTCTCGTCTTATTAACAGACAAGTCTGTGTAGCATATCTTACCTTAATATGTCGGTTATCGCACTGAGGAAACCATCATATTTCCTATTAAAAATGTCAAAGAAACTGGACTTTTTATATCGAGTATTTGAAAAGAAGTCTCCCTCTGTTTCTTCCATCCAAAATGAATTTATACTGATCAATTATACATCAGCCTGTACTGATGATCCTATCATATTTCAGTAGTTATTGCACCTGGTTGTACTTAGTTGTGTGTAAAAATATTCAAATCAGCACATAAAATGAAACCTTTTGATATTTCTTAAGTTATGTTAATTCGTCGATACGATTAAAGTTGTAATATAAACCGTTATTTTGAATCACTCATTACAGTTTGTAAACTTCGACTTGACGTGGAATTCTGTTGAAGTACATATATAAAATACGCATATAAAACATACTATGCCAATGAATAGCACTGAAAAATGTTATCTTCATCCTGTTACTAAAGGATTGTCTCACTACAATACTTAACGAGTGATCATTGTTTTTCAAGGTGTGTTTTTTAAAATTGCCAAGAACGTTTCTGTAGATTCGTATGACCTAATGATTGAATCATCCAACTTTCAATCATCAAGTTGAAAATTAAAATTCTAAACTACCTACCTCAATTTGATGGTGCTTTTACACAATATTTCTGATTAAGAGCCAACAGAATAAAACTTTACATGGTCAATAATTTACAATAACATAATAGAATTCATGTTTAAACTATACGTTGTTGATAATTAGCTCACACTACTTGAATTATTTTTTTAATGCACCTGATAATCTTCTAAATTTGTGTAAAAATTCTTTTTTAGATCAAAATATACATAAATCTCATGTACACTATTTTATGTGTATATTTTCGTTTACTTTAACTTTCAGGGTTACTTCCGTATGTATCGAGGTGATGGTACTTGTGGCATTAATACTGTTGCTACGTCAGCGTTGATCTACTAGGGAGTGTGGGTATATGTGTTCCTTTTTTCATCTCAAAACAATTTATCTCATTCCTAACAGAATCTCAATTTAATTCCGTATTATTTTGTTGAAAATACTTTTTTCAGATCCTGATTTATTTTAAACCTCCACTTCTCTCATCATCTGACATTTTTTTAAATTAATGAATAAACTCCACTACGAATCTCTGTAAAACACCCACTATTAGTTTCTTTTTATTTTTGATGGTGGATGGGAAGGGGAGAATAATCTATTTTGGACAACTGCCTTTCTAATTTCAGTAATCTCATAAACATTTTGTATTAATTATTTTTAGAAACATTATGCTCAGTGCTTTAGGTCACAATTTTCTTAAATATAAAATTCAAACAAACACATTAACTGTGTTTTCTTTATGTAGAGATGAGATGAAATGCATCGCAAATGTTATCTGTTTTACATTGATGGTATCTAAGTAAGAAATAGGTTCTTTATTTGTTTATTCCGTTTAAAAAAGCGATTGTTTGTGATTATTTTTGGTTGTTTATTTTGTGAAATTCTACCGAGTAATCCATATATAGGGAGCAATTGTAATCTAAGCACCGTTGATAATTCATAGATAATAATGTCTAAATCCCCAGACTCAATTACAAAAATTTCAGAATTGTTTTTCTGATCATTTTGGTGTAACTTGCTATCTTTCATACCCAGAAAGTTTTGAAGATACATAATTTAGATTATTATGTTACTGTTCAGCAAAGTGACATTTTAATCGGTCAGGTTTTACCCTTAATAAAATTAGAGTGAGTTAAAAATCGATATTGATTAGTTGAAATTGAACTATGCTTATCATCCCCTAATTTTTCTTACCTGTAACAAAATGTTCATGGTAATAATGTATAAGGATGCTGGGTCACACATTAGTCAGTAGTATATGCAATCTCCTCAGTGGGTGGGCAAATGGATGCCATAAAAGTTTCTTTGACGTAATTTTGGGTGTGTTGATCCTATCTGTTTCGAAATACTTCCAATTTGTGGAAGTTCAATTGTTCCATCTTCGCTTCTGTCGTTCATAGTATATTCCAATGTTCCCAGAAACTAGACTCACCAACATTAATTATCTAAACTCATGTGTTTTACTGTAGTAGTTTTCATAGACTATATTGTGTTCATTTAATCGACAATCATCTAGACGGTAACTCAGTGACGAAAACGCGAAAAATATCACATGCGTTCAATGTTTACATCAATAAGGGAAATCATTGGTGGTACTGGCCTTGCATCATTGTTTCCAGTCTTCATGGCTCTCACTGGGATAATAATCTATCAGGAAAGAACCTTTTACCTCGATATTTTATTTCCACAAAAAGTGCTCAACATTTAATGAATTCCCCTTTAGTTCTCAAGTTTCATTAGCAATTCACGTGGTTTAGTTCCCTTATTTAATGCATAGTGAGTGCGGCAACATAAATACTGATATTTTCTAAGATTTATAATGGATTAGAGTTGTTAAAGTTTATCTGGATTCGATTTTTGACCGTTTTTATTCTATTTTAAGAAGATTTAGTGAATACTGTTTGGATAAATAAATTATCCATTTGTGAATTAGTTATTCTAATTTCAAATTTATTGACTCAACCAACCTATGATCAGTCAGTCACTTCCACAGAGCCCACTACTAATAAGTGTACTGGTCCAAGTTGTCACACCTCTGATCAGTGAACTAAGAGATAGTAATAGTTTATGAGTTGAGAACCAAAGGATGAAAATTAATTATAACTGTAATCTAACCATGAGCCATAAATTATACGAATATTCGTCAAGATTAGAACGAATAGTTTGACAGAAATTGGGAGCCGAGTATAGAGAAGTCATTATATTTGAAATATTCTCAGCGATTGAAATTTAACTGATTTCAACTTTTCGTCCAGCTAACTTGTCTGGACTTCTTCAGGGTAATAATCAAAATTATCAAAGAAATATATAGCTTTTAACAATCCGGATTATACTGTGTTAAACTAATCATATTTGGATGTTGATTTTTTTGTAAAATAGGATCAAATGAGTCAGTTAACTACAAATCATGTGAAGAATTCAACTACATGGAAATACTTAACTGAGTAACAAATCGTATGTGTGTGAGTGTGTAGGTATGTATGTGTGTATGTGTGAGAGATTAATATGAAGGGATAAATAAATTTCAAGGTTGAAAAATTGATAATGAAACATCGATGTACATGTGAAAACATTAATTGCATATTTCAAATATAATTTTCACATATAATGACTTCTCTATACTCGGCTCCCAATTTCTGTCAAACTATTCGTTCTAATCTTGACGAATATTCGTATACATTAATTGTATTGTTTAAAAAACTCATTGAATTCTTTTAAAAATAATAACGATGCATGTGATATTAAAAAACAGGTTTAAACAAGAGATAGGTTTCAAATTTACTTGTCAAACGAAATTTGCCAGGTAGTTGCCAGTTGAATACCATCTTTTCGGTTCAGGCTGTTCTTGTTCGCCCATATATGCAGCGCTTCTGCCGTCAATCTTTCTTTATGGGTGTTAAAACCCTTCTGAAGTATTTTGGTCCCTTCAAAATTAATCTTGTGTCCTGTTTCTAACGAATGTAACGCTATCGCTGACTTATTTTCAAGTTTCTTTAAATCAACCGAGGATTTTGGAACATTTTTCAAGCATTGTTTGTGTTCCTTCAATCTTAGATTCAGTTGCCTGGATGTTTCTCCAACATAGGTAGCATTACAGTCATGACAGTGAATCTCATACACAATGTTCTGTTGTTATTCCTTTGCTAACTTGTCCTTAACTTTCACTAATGTCGATCTTAATGTGTTATTCGTTCTAAAATACACTCTTATACCATGTTTGTTTAGAATCCGTTTGATTTCTTCTGATGTTTCACTACGGTAAGGTATGACTACGGTGTACTTCCATTCTTTTCGTATACCTTCTAGTTTAATTTTTCTTTCATTTTCAATAATCTTTAAAAACCTTTTTGGGTAGTTGTTATCCCTAAGAGTAGGAAATACTTTATTTAATTCGGTTCGTTGGTCTTACTTGTCTGTAACAATCTTAGTACTTCTGTTCATTAGATCTTTTACCACATTAATTTTCGTACTCTGTGAATGGGCTGAATTAAAATCCAAGTATCTCTCGGAATGTGTTGATTTTCTGTAAACATTTATTTTTAACTTCTTATTATTGAGTCGACGTTCAACCAAACAATCTAGAAATGCTAGTTTGTGGTCAACTGATCCTAATTCCTTAGTTAGTTTAATGTTTTCAGAAATGCTGTTCACAAGGGACAAAAAGTAGGAGAATGGAGAGTTAATAATAAAACTGAATATTTAGTAAAAGAATGAGAGATGCAGCTACATCACTACGAATGATCCTCAGCCACGTTACTCGACTGATTTAGGGTCTATGAGAAAAAACGTAACTACATGTTTGAATAAAACCGGTAAGTTATTGATCATTTATAACAGCTATCAGTGAAAGAAAACCTGCTAACATTAATACTAGTTGAAGAGTGGTGAACTGTTATGGACATGATAAGATCATCTAGAGAAAAAGATGTAAGTCATACAAATGAATTGCTTTTCCAAGTACATGGGCCAAGTTAATCCCATATTACTTATTCAGACCGGAAATCTTTATGAAGAACTTTGGATGTAGCAATTTCTACTTAGACAATACCTTGAAAATCTCTTAGAAATATTTGAATATTAAAGCTTTTCGGTAGATGTTTGCGATTTAGTCTCAAATTAACTGGCTATGGAACCAATCTCTTCTGTCTTATTTACATTATCGTGTCCACTGTGTTATCAACAAATCTATTAACTAACGATAATCTAAGCTGGGACACTACTCAAGCATAAACAGGTGGTTGTTTTAGGGCAGTACTTCACAAATTCCTGAAGTCTAATGTACGAAGCAGTGGAGCAACGTCAGGAAACGCGACTCTGTGGTAGCTGATGACTACAATAGATTCATATGCCATTTATTCTTGGACTCGATAGCTGAGTGGACACTATGTTAGGTGTTTGGAGTGAATGGTAGTGGGTGTAATTCCCCATATGAACACGAACATTGAGACAAAGGGATATCCAGATGACAAGTCTTAAATTGAACAGGACGCACGTCCTGTATTGCACTGATCATCCCGATCAGACTGCCCAAATTTTCCAATTACATGTTTAGTTTAGTTAAATCTGAAAACTGAAATTATTTGTTTCAAATATAGAAATCACTGATTATTCATGATAATACTAAGTCTCTTTATTAATTTTCTTGCATACCTAATTCTTCATTAATTTTTTTTCCTGAACATAACCATCATTCTGATTCACAGACTCGTAAATTTCTTCTCATCACACACTCTTCATGTGATCCATTTTAGCATAGGTTTACATTTTTCTGTTGTTGTTATAAATATCTAATAAATTTAGTGCATAGTTTCATGTGATATCCTTACATATTAACTATAATGACTATTAATAAAGTATATACAATCACTAAGTGAAAAATACACCGTTTGATCATTTCAACCCTCCTATTGATAATCGGAATATTTTCGGATAATCAATATTTTTTTTTTCGGAAAAAACGGGTGAGTTGGAAAACATAATGTAACGAATAACGAAATTAGATAATTTTACTGAAAAGACGTTTACTTTGCTAATTGGTTTAATGGTGAAGAATTCATATTTGTCGTTTAAAGAAAAAATCATTAATACAAGCTTCAAATAGAAACGAACTATAATAATAATTTTCCAGGTTAGGATAATGAAATTTCAACGAAATTACCGGCCTTAGCTACAAATTTTCTCCACTGATCTTCAGGTCAGATGAATTTGATTAACTGTTGACGAATTGTGGATAATTAAATACGATCATTTTGTTGATAAATAATGATCATAGGCGGTATTGAATAGTTACATAAGCCTATAAATGAAATGAATAAGATAAATGTAAGTTTATTGAATTTCCTTATGGGGAAATTCATTAATCAAAATAAAGGTCTGTAATGATGTATGGAACATTTCAAAGAACTGTTTAATTGATCTTGAGTTTACTAAGATACATCAGTAATATGAAATGACATAGGTTTATCAAATTCTACTGAAAACTGTGACAAACACATAACATCTTAAATTGATGAGTCCTAACAAAGTTTCTCTGGAAATTATCGTGGTACAGAATTACAGATCGAAATTAGTTAAAGTATTTATCAGAGTAAGGATATAGTGCGATTAGTTCCCTTCATGAATTTAAATAAAGCCAGAGCGAACATTGATGCAGAATAATATGGATTCATTATATTTCGTGGTTTCTCATCAGCTGCAACCAAATATGTATT